TTTTTTCAGTTCTAGCAAAAATTGTTTTGGTTGTCTGGCTTCTGGTTTTTGCCGGAGTGAACAGGGCACGACTCCACTTACTTAATCTTCAAAGTTCAATCGTGGCTTTTTTCTGAAAAATTGACCGCCGCAACCTCAAATTAGCTAAAAGAAGTGCTTAGCCGTTTTACGGTACTGGGTGTTAGCAAAGCGTTGGAAGCCTATCTGTCCCATCTCTCAGTTGTCAACCAAACACATCCAAGGTAACAACTGTTTAGTAATCAATATCACCAATCAGGCTTAGCTACGGCATGTTTTTTTCGCCCAAAAAGGAGGGTGTATAGTACTTATGATTTTTCACCGCTCACATCGCTCAAACATAAGTGAGTCCGGCTGTTCAGACGTGAAAATTCATGTATCCAGGGGGCGCCAGTGGACCAGTGGCCACACGCTTCCTCGCATGTCAGATATCCGGATTTCAAACTTCCGGGCATCCAAAAATATGCACTAGTGACAAGTTCTGATAAAACCGAAGATCGAGTTCAGTGTTTCTCCTTTCCAGATAGCCTTATGACGAATAGCAAATGAAAACTCGGTGATTTGCCATGTGTCCTTTTTTGAATTTGATGAATCAATGTAGTCACATGACAGGCAGCTAGAGTGTAGATCCATGTCTAGAGCATACCGGATGTTATGTGGTCTGGATTTTATCACAGAGGTTGAGTGGTTTATAAAACATTTTGGCACCATACCATCACATGTTGCTAGATAAGCTTGATGGGGGTGCTAGTGGGGAAGACTCAAAATATCCATCTGTGATTGGGCATAAGGTATACTAATTATTATTAATAGTAGCAGTAGTAGTGGTATCAAAGGGAAGTTGTACCAGTACAGGATCCACTCGTTCTTGTCTATTCTATTCTAAATTTACAGAGTTTAGGAAGGCTAAAAGGCCACGGAGCTACCATTAGTTGAAGGGCTGGCCGTACAACCATTTAATTATTACGTTATGGGTTGAACCGTCAGTAATTTGGTCATGACTAGGAAGGTTTCCCAGTAAAGGGAACGACTGTACCTACTTGTAGTGAGATCGTCACTGAAATCGCCTTACTAGAGGCGTATTTTTAGGCCCGGTTTTGATACGTTTGCTCGTTCGAGTGAAATTTCAGTGATGGAAAGTTTTCTTTCGTAGATTCCGTAGATCACTGGCCATTTTTGACCACTCTGAAGTGACTTGGTGAAATTTTGGAAACTATGTGGTGGAGATAGGGAAGAAGTTCGTATCTATGGCCACTGTATCGAGGATAAAAAGTGTGCCCAAAATATTTGCGATTTCGTCATCGTCATCATTATCGACAGTATGGCATCAGTATTCAACACCGATACTTCATTGCCGTACAACCATGATTTATTTGAAAGCCTTATTGTGAAGAAAAGAGTGAGGGTGATCGGGGAACGGACCTAGTGCTAGCTTACCACAATCATTCCGAGGTGCCTACACCTCTAGACATTCACTCAGGCAAACTGGATAGAAACTGACAACAAGCACGCCACTGACATCGGTTGGCAGCCATATCTTGTAGTGTCTCCAATCAGGCACTGTGAGGATCACGCGGTCACCATCCTGGAAGGCGAGTAGCACCGACAGCACCCAAGCGTCTCGCGATCTCCTTCATACTCCTCTACCAAGTCAAGGGTTGGCCACCTCTCTGTTTACGCCACTCTGAATTGGGCATGGAAAATAGCACTCTCTTCGGCAAACGATGGTTCGGCATACGCAACACATGTCCCAACCAATGCAGCTTCTGGTGCTGGACACATTATTCAATGGAAATAACCGTTGCACAACCGAAAACGCGCTTCCTAACTGCCTCATTACGGATTCGCCCTCACCAACCCACACGAGCCATGGTTCTGAGACAACGATTGTCGAACACCTGAAGACGTCTCAGGTCCGCTGCTCGAATAGGCCAAGTCTCACAGCCATACAACACAACAGCCCGTACTGTAGCTTGATACACACGTCCCTTCAGATTCAGAGATAAACCACTCTGACACCGGAACCTTGCAGATTCGTGCATTCGCCTCATGTGTCAGACTACAGTCAGAACTAATACAACTTCCTAGATACGTAAAACGCTCCACAACTTCCAGTACCTCTCCCTGGATTGTAAGTGGCGTGTTTAGTGACTGCACGTCCACGAGCATGACCTTACATTTTGTAGGTGCCAAGTGCATACCAAAGGACTTTGGTCAGTTCATCCAAAAACACCTTGTAACGAGGACGGATAAAGCCTTGTGGATGCATGACCGGCCTCCAAATGACCTCTTTGCTATGTTGCTGTTCCTGGGAGTCTAATTTGTGATCAGTCTTGTTAGAAAGAGTCAGAACATTGCCGCATTGTTTCTTTGGTATTCCGTCTGACCGGGTTACCCCTTGTGAAAGGTAGCTCACGGCGACAGAAACTTTGAAAGTACTTTTAAAACGGTGGCCGTAAAATCAGCATTTGCAGTAATTAGAAAATGTTCTCAATGTTTCGGTTTGCCATTGCTCTGCCAGGGTTAACTTCCCAAAACCTTAGACGGTGGTTATCTGCTTTCCTTGGCAGATACCTCGTACAATGTGGTTGCATTTTCGCGTTTAGGTAAAAAGTAGATAACGGTACTATCACAAACGTTGTCCTCAAACGCTGTCACAGCCACTATCCTCATGTGTTGTGGCACTTAGAACGAGAAACAGTTGTGAATACTCTGACGTATGCACGCCATAGCAACATTAAAAAAATTAACCCCTTTGGATCGAACAAGAATGAAATGAGCCAATCGATCGCAGTTTCAAGCACTACCTTTCGTGCCATGTTCTGTGACTGATGATGCCACAGAAGCCTATCTACATACGACAAAATCTTGATAGCTTCTTGTGTTAGTAGGACAATACGACAGCCGTCTTCCGAACCTCCGGGATATGAACCAATCAAATTTAGGTGGGAAAATTCCATTCTCTGCTGTTTGCAGCCATAACTGTCGATTTGGTGGATCATGTTTGTACTACTAACAAAGAGGATAAAAACTATGTGGTCAGACAGTTCAGAGTCGAATTCGAAAGCGCGTTACGCTCGTCATCAGTCGCACTGATGATGCTTTATGTTGGTGTGATCTCACGCCTACAGACCGCCACGGATGACGAGCAAAGTTTGTATAGACTTTGAAAACCTTGTTGATCGTTTCATGTGTAGCAGAGTTGCAGTGCGGTTTGCGGTCAGAAGTGGACGGACAGATGTCACAGAGGTAAAGTAGTATCGATGGTAGTCAAGTATACGTGTGTTATGTCCTCAGCATCAGGTCAGTCTTCCACTGTTCTCTCTTGGGTTGAATGCAAAAACTGGAGAGGTCTTCAAAACCGTTTTTTGTCTACTTGGAAAACCAATCATCGGTGCACTGATTCGATCCAAACACAACTGGATTCTGTACTATTTTTGTACTACTCGTTTGACAAAGTTGTGGGCCTTCCTTTCCGAAGTTTCACAGAATGATGAATACAGTAAACTCCTCCTGAATGACGTCCAACCCCCACTCTGGTAGAGACATGTTTGTCCGACCATGCAAAATCGTTTTCCCAAGGACTTATTTACTAGTATCCCCCAAAGAAACCATCAATTTCAAAAGCATGTGAAATGTTTTCGAGAAATACATTCATTTGCAAATCAATTTGGTTCTCACGATTGACTCAACTGAATCTCTCGTTTATGATATTCTAAAACTGAATGCGCTGCACACAGGCCGCCTCATGTTTCAGTAGGCACGATATTCGAGATATCGCAGCATATTTTCATGAGGAAAACTACTCACAATGTGCTGAAAACTCTTCGACAGCCCACGACCGGTTTCGCCCTTCTTGGGGCTCATCAAGTAGGCGCATACTATACTATACTATACTATACTATACTATACTATACTATACTATACTATACTATACTATACTATATACTTAATAATACTATACTATAATACTATAGTTAATACTATACTTACTATATTAACTACACTACTTAGTATACTTATGTTAATACTATATATAAAAATTGCACTTTGATTTTGAGGAAGGTAATACAAATACTCGGACGACGTTGCTATGTGAAGTCTGTTTGGACCGGTATTGACTGAAGTTATCTCGCGCTTAAACGGTCAGTAAACAAGTATGAACTAGTTTAAACATTTGGAAGGGTTGCACCGGTTACTCAACAATAACGACGATCGAAGGGAGGCGTAACAGCTGTATAGTGCCCCTCTACGTCAATCAAAGTCGGGGACAGGATGACACGGTATCTAGAACCATCTGCAGGTGCGCACTAAGTATTTTGAAAGAATCACCCCTCTTGTTTCTTCAGGTAACATCAAATTACAATGGATGATTGGTTGGAGTACGTGATATGCCCACTTGTACATACATGGGAAAGGTCAGTTTGTCTTGAACTGCCATTCAACGGTGGCGACCTTGCTGTCCCGATGAGATCTTTGACTTCAAGACTTAAACAGACATACTCTGAGGAGGTAGATACATTCGCAGGACAATGAGGCTCTTGAGGCACATGTGGGCACGCATAGACCCAAGTTGCCTCAAGAATCTAGCAACTGAAAGCAAAACAGTATTGCACCAAAACCTCTGCTGAAAAGCGGTTTCACTGGACGAAACTTTTACAACACCTTTTAACATCTAAACGGCAATGTTTGCTGGACGATGCAGAAGCTCTTGTTGATCACGTTTTATCCAGACAGAAGAAGTGCATAACCAACAGGGCGTAGGACGTTGGAAGAACTGCCTATACCCATCATGAGTTGTTTATTCTGCTTCCTACTAAATATTGCAGTTTTCATTTCCACTACCAACCACTATCGTCTAGTTTCACGCAGTACTGAATGCCAGTAAATGGTTACTCATAAAGATATGTGGAACTGATTAGTTGACAATAACAACATTCAGTAGTCATACTGTCTGGCTTTTTTACACCTCCCCCCTCTAGCCTTGTTCACCCGATTGACAAGTAACAGTCACGTGGACTCGGAACAGGTAGGAGGTTATCTGGCTACTTTGGACTATGCAGAGACGCGCAACGGTGGGACGGAATGGCGCATGCATCAGGCGGACGCCATCTGTCGCGTTGGCGAGGAGCAGTTACCATACAGATTCTATCTACCGGCACCCAACACCCAACCCCATCAACCTTCCTTTGGCCTGGAAGAGATGGTTTCGTTCGTGTTACGTATAAAGGATATGAGTTTGACGCAACCTATAACACATTCTGGTAAGTCCAATTGTTTCAAATGCCATATTTGATGGAGTTAATCGATTTGTCGGACATCTTTTCCTGACTAATCCAAACATCAAACATTTTTATGCTCTACGAGTGATCATCGATGATGATACTACCGAGAAAACAGATACTGAATTCTAGTGCACAACGCGGACTGGAACAGGCAAAAATACTGTTAATTTTGGTGTCTTTGGCGCTGTACTGAGGTTGCAGTATCGCTCTACCTTCCGTATCCCCTAAATCGTTCCGTTTCTTCTTTGTCTCTCGTTATTGTCCTTAAACCAACCACGTTTATAGGAAATAACCAAGCTAGTGAGCTGTAAGCGTCTGGTTCTCACGTGAACGTCCCCAAGTTCCACAGTACGCGAAATAAGACCTCTGGTAGCGTCATAACCACTTTGCTGGATTCAAGGATCATCATGACGATCTAAAAATGATTTATTTGGTCCAATGGGAACAGAAAGTGTCCGACAGCGCGTCTTGCAGGCCTTTCTGTTTGCAGGTATCATTGTTGAGTTTGAAAAAGTATTCAGAAACTGATATAAGATGGTGCGTAAGGTCCCTTCACGCATCGGAAAAAGCGGTTTCAAATAGAACGACTCAGGAGACAGTGTACCTGGTTAGTATCGCTTATGGCGCAGTGGATAGTTCTGGTAATGTAACAGTAAAAAAACTCACTAGAACGCATGTTTTTGGTATTCCGAAGAAATAGACTTGTACAGTGCATGGACCAGCGACTTCCGCTTTCCACTTCATAAGGTGATTCAACTTACCTATGGCGAGATATCGATGCGTTTACCTTAACTCAAAGGATAGCGTATTGATAATGGAATCTTAAAGTCGGGCAGTACTGAGACATTATAGGCACAATCCGTGCGAGATTAAAATATCTTTCCACATACATCTCCGTTTTTTCCTTTCTGTATTGGAACTTTGAAACTTTTTTGGACAAAAATTAAGTCTGGCTGTTTGTCAAAATATTGATAGCTCGGGCGACTTTGTCCTGTTTGCGCACTAAGAAAATCTCTTCACAATATGAAGAGATGTCTGCAAGTCGGTTGCTAAGTTCCGCGAATAGACCAACCACCAAATCCTCAGTCTCATATGGTTTTCCACAATGTCAAGCCAGTAAGTGCTTGGTTAAAATGCTCTACTGTGATTGGCTGATGCCACAACCAATGAGGACACACCTTCTTTGGGTCCGCAACCCGCCTCTGACAAATGTGACCAATTGACCTGACGTTCTAGCATTTCAGGCGGCTCTTCTCCGAACAGAATGCTACTGCAAACTCGGTTTATGAAAATCATTAGGAGGTCTATTGTCCGAGCTCCGAAACTTCAATCCCACCAACTGCCGTAACTTCCGTCTTTCACATGTCCAATGATCTGTAGTCTATCGGGATAAGGTTCTGATCCACTGGTTGAAAAAGGTACTGGATTGCTACCTCACAGCTGATACTCAGGAAATGTAGATAACAAACTCATGAAACTTTTCTACCCGATCATATTGAAGGAACACAAGACGTTTTCGACTCACATCTGGTTGGTCGCAAGGATCTTGATAAGTTATGAAGAAATTCTCAACTTCTCGAAATCCAAGGGAATTTCGACGCATTAGCTAATGTCTGCCATCCAGTTTCCTCCACGTGATGTGCTTGTATACTGTGCTCTTGTCTCCACTTCGCTTATTCCGTAAATTCCACGAAGGACCCTGGGTAACAGTTACTCCACTTCCATCGCATATAGTTTGTTCTCCATGAGGTTTTTTGTGAAGATAGAAGATAGAATCACAGTACACGTAGCACTTATAACGAATACTGCTCAGCTATCCACAACCTACAACGCGTAAATACAAAGCCGATAAGCATAAGTCACAAATTTGAACCATGCTCCGGAGGTAGAACCTCTTACACGTGGTCTCTACTGTGTACAGCAAATTCAAATTTCTAATGTGCTCTGCAGTCGTTTGCTTTGAAAAGCTCGTTTCCTCTAGAACAATATCAATCAAGCGTACGACAGACCGCTCACAGCATACCGTATTCTTCATACAATCAATTCGCCCTGACGTCAATCATCAGCGACCAATACGAACTGTCTAATGGAATGTTATAGCTCTTATCTTCGTGTGTTTTGCGATAGGGTAAGGCAGAGTTACAGGGGTTTGTTTACAAAAGCAGTGATGCGTTACTAGTGCGAAGCATCACCCACGAGTCGATTGAAAATAACCGCGCTCAGTCAGTTGCAGTTTTATCTTTTGGTCTGACGTTGGTTCAAAACCCAGTTACTTGTGAATTTTAGGTACACATGGCAATGATCCGCTCACCGTTGGGTTCTTCTCTGCATAGTGCTTTAGAGATCGGTTTACCAGATTTGAAAAAGAATCGTCGACAAGGCAATGTCTGTGGGAAAATTTGAGTCTCCAGTTCGTATTCACAGTTGGTCGGCCAATCAACAAGCTTAGAATTTTCTACCCAGCAGTGCATAAATCCTACACATTTTTTGTAGTATTTTAAAGTCAGGTGCTAGGATATTTTCCGGTCAGAGTTGACCGCGGTCTATGTTGCACCGCTGACGGTAGACGAGGCAACCGTATACTCCATATCTCGCGCACCACTGAATAGAAGGTCACAGAGTTCTTCCGGACCGAGTCAGGTGACTTGAGAGTAAGAAGACTACGTGTTCGAACTTGTCTGCGAGGCCCTGCTTGTGTTGACTGACAGAACGACACGGTCGGTGTAAAAGTAACGGGATGGTCAAAGTGTCTTCTGCTGCAAGGTCAGGTCGAGTCAGATAGTGGCCTCTCAAAGGCTCTATATTCATTCAACTCTGATGCAGAAAATTCAGGTGGCCTCCTATTGAATTCACCCTTCCGTTTTGAGGCATTTTGGTGTCACAGATTTGTAGTCCGAAAAATTCTAGCTGTTAAGCTGCCTTCTTGAGCGCCCAGAAAGCTGTTTTTCAACACCACAAAATAATCGATGTATCATAAAACGTACGTAGTCCAGTCATTTTCTCCTTGCTTGTATTTCCTAACACAACGGACATTAGATCGATCGCATAATAATTGTTCAGCTGTAACACCCTTTCGGTGCCTAGCTGACCTGCGACCCAAAGGAAGCACGAGGTCTGGGATACTGCCAGGTTGCCTTGAGGCAGAGGTCGGGTTCGAACCACGAACCTTCCGATCAGTAAATTCGCGCTGTAACCACTGAGCCATCTTGTCCCTAAGTATGATGGCGATTGGTTTGTCAGTTGCTCAGTCACCTACTCCCTCACGTCATCTGTGTTGGAAACAATTTTTCAAGGAAAATATATGTCAGGCTAACCAGTATTGGATAAGTGTTCTAGGATCCAGCTCGCCTCCACTCCTCCTCACTTTATCCTCCAAAGCCGCAAGATATGGCTGCTGACCGATGTCCATGGCGTTGCTGTGGTTAGTTTCTGTCTACCTGAGTGTCTGGAGATGTAGGTACCTCACAATGATTGTGGTGAGCTAGTATTTTTTTATTAGTTTCTTCATTCCAGAACTTTCAACTAGATTACACTTGAAAGGCATCAATGTTGGACGCTGTTTTCTTGATGTTTTGCGTGGATGTCGTAATTTCCAACAGATGCACCTGATTATGCTAGCTTGAATACCTGCCAAGGAGTAGATCCTAACAGGTTGAAAGACCTGACTTAACGAAACAGTAAGGTTAAATATACTTCTTATATGTAGTTTGACTACTAGACGTTCGTTTTCGGGAAGCTATTTTTCTGCTGCGCTATCAGCTGACGTTTACAATTGAATCTCAATCTGTTTCACCCTTCTTGGCGGTTATCAGGTAGGCGTATTCCTCGGGATTTCAACCAGTTGACCCTATGTTCTTCTTGAGCCCAAATTGCGCGAAATTCACCAGGTGCGCTAGCTTGCATACCAGTGTCAATTGCATGGGAATCTCACCTCAACCCTAGTTCACTCGCTCATTTATGATGTTCTTGAAACTTCATGGGCTGCACCAAAGACGCCTCATCCTTCAGCCTTTGTGCAGCTCATTCAATCAAAGAATATCACAAACGATAGATTCAGCAGGGATTCAGTTAAGCCTCCTGTGAAAGCCAGGTTGCTAAACAAATGAGTGTAATTGTCGAATTTCGTAGTTTTATGTTGAACATAAGGTTGATGGAAACTCGGGAAATGTGTCTATCTGATGAGCCCCAAGAAGGGTGAAACTGGTTGTGGGCTGTCAGCAGATTTTCAACAACCTCGTGAGTAGCTTCCTTCATGAAAATATACAGCGATATCTCGAATATCGCATGAGACATGAGTCGGCTTTTGTGCGGCACCTTCAGTTGGGTGAATATAATAAACGAGAAATCCAGGTGAAATTCAGGTGAGTCTTTGGTAAAAATCAAATTAGTGTGCAAATGAATCAGGACTATGAACAACCCAGATCAACCGGACTTAAGTCAATGGTCTATCTGGTACTATCAGACCCGATTCATTAAGGTTCCTCTGGGTGAATGTGTTGGATGGCCTTACGGGGCACTAGTTAGTTACAGCCATTGAAATGAGATTTTGTTTTTGGATGTCGATACCATGCTACGACAAGCAAACACAAATTCCGCAACTACAAGATGAAATCGCTTGGTCCTCACTATGGTGTCTATGCATTACGGCCACTCTTTGTACTCCCGTGAATACAGTAGCCGGTCGACTCATTTAAATTATCGATTTCAAATCGATCGATTCTTTACGTTGTTTGGCAGTACAACCACACCACAAACGATGGATTATTTATCACCAGATTTAAATGAACTCGTTTTTATGTAACTTCTAGACTACCTAATCAAGAGTGCTGCTTGGCATTTCCTTAGCAAGAATTTCCCACGCAATATTTCTAATCAATGTGTACGTTTCGGTTTCATGATTAGTCCTGGCTGTTACCAGGGGCAACGCCCAACGCCGTCCCACAGGACGGGTGACAATGCTTCTACACAAAGTTGAAATT